TCTCCAGAGAGAACCACACCTCCACTGCGAGGCACAGGGAATGCCAGGCAGGAAGGCCCCTCCCGGGAAGAGAGACTCTCAAGCCCCCACCTCCCCAATGTGCTCCCCAGTGGGAGTAAGGACTGCAGCTCCCTGGGACCCAGTGCGGCCACTCACAAGTCATGGAAGCTGCGCAGGGAGGAGGCTGGGGTGAAGACATCCAGGAGCCCGATGACCTGAGGGAAGGTGGCCAGTGAGGGCCGGCGGCCTGAGCCCTCTCACCACACCCCCCTGCCCGGGCGCCAGGCAGGGACCATCCACCCTTTCCTCACACACCACCTCCAGCAGGAGGCAGTGCCCCTGTCCTTGGAAGCGGTTAAGGGGTGGAGGTGGAAGAGGAAGCCCCTCAATGGGGGGGTGGGGGGCAATGATGGAGAGTCAGGCTGGGGAGATGGAGAGGTGGATACTCCTTGCTCACTGCCCCCAAGTGTGATGTTCAGGGCAGGCAGCACAAAACCACCCTCCCGGCGAGCAGGGACCCACGCATGGCGGAGGGAATCCAGGAAGGAACAGGGAAGGGGCCTGCCAGCCAGCAGGCTTCCTGCCCTTGACCTTGGGTCTCCTGACACTTCGATTCTTGCCTCCAAAGAGCTGGTTCAGCGCCAAGGGCAAGATCACCCTGGCTGGAGGCCTCGGGGAAGAGGAAGGGGCTGGAGCTGTTATTTTAATGTCTGCCTTCCAATCCAGGTGTCCAGAGCAAAGCCTGGCCGCAGACCCAAGGCTGGGCCACTCGTTTCCTAGCTGCTTCCATCAGACAGGGCAGCCTAATGCCCTGAGGCCCGGAGCCAGGCTGCCCGCATTCAATCCCAACTCTGCCACCCACTGACCATACATACAACCTGTGGATCTCTCGTGCCTCGGTTTCCCCATCTGTACATGGGAGTTAACAGTACTTATCTCACGTGATACTGCGAGCATTAAGCGAGTTGGCTTATGCAACGCTCTTAGAACGGTGCCTGGCACATACGTGCTCAATACTGTATGTACCTGTTGTTGTTGTTAGGGTCACATACACAAACATTCGCCTGGGCCCTGCCCCCCTCCCACCCCCCCACTCCCTCATGGATCAGGACCATGTTACAAAGTTCCTCTGTGCCCATGTCCTCCTGGGGGGCGGGGGGGCAGGTCTGCACCTCAAAGGGTGGCTCTGCTCCACTACCACACCCCCTTACACCCCTCCTGGGAAGTAGGCCGGACAGGTCCTGCACCCCATGTCCACAATGAGGCGAGTGGCCAGGATCAGAGCGGCAGGAGGAGGTCCCCCTCCCCGGGCCCTGGCCTGAGCTTTGGGCGGCCTGGGCCGCTCCCGGTGGGCTGCACACACACACACACACACACACCCCACACACACACACCCCGCGCCCCCGCCTACGTTCTCATGCTGCATGTGCTTCAGCAGCAGCAGCTCCCGATAGGCCCGCTTGGCGAAGATCTCCGACTGGAAGGGCCGGCTCAGCTTCTTGATGGCCACCTTCTCCCCTGACCGCTTGTCGATGGCGGAGCTGCGGGGCACGGACAGGTCAGCAGGCAGCGCCTCCCCGCCGCCCCGCCCCGCTTTTTTTCACGGATGCCCTGGCCGGAGGGTGCGGGGGCCGGAGGGGGAGCCGCAGACACCAGAGGTCAGAGCAGGACCCACACAGTTCCCACCAGCGGATCGGGGCCGCGGGGGTCTCCCCACCACCTGGCGAGTCACTTCTGCGGGTCTCGGTGCTCCCGTTCGCAACCATGGGGCTCACCCGGAAGAACTCCGGGGTCCCTAATACCTTCAAGTCCTGGGGAACCAGACTTGGTCCTAGTTCACCCCACAAGCCAGGAGCGAGAGATGGCGCCGGGTGCCCCGGGCCTGGAGGCCGGGGGGTGGGCGCGCGTCTCGGGAGCGCAGAGGGTTCACTCCAGCAACAGAAACCTGTTCTTTGTTTCTCAAATACTTCCATCTCGTTCCCACCTAAACTATTTCCACTTACTGTTCCCTCTGCCTGGGAATAATCCCCATAGAACTTCCCATGGCTGCCTTCTCATGATGCAGATATCAACTCAAATGTGACT